TATAGTCAAAGAGTGCATACCAATATTTGATAACCTTTTGGACATATACGTTGAACGAGAATTTCTGTTGCTAATGCATCTTCTTTGATAGCAATCTAAAACATAGAGAGAGAGATGTGTAATAAGTGTAAAAGGTCAAAAAAAAACTTAAAATTTTCATTCTATCATGGTAAGAGTTTAATCAAGAGTTTTACTAGAACAATTAGATAGATTCATTCAACAATTCTATATTTACAAACTATAGGCTAATTATTTGGTTCCGATTCTTTTTTTTTACCACTTTTTCGTCATATGTACACCCATGAAGTTTTTTTGTCGATTAAAACGGTGTCCAAACGATGAAATAACAGAAACGCGTTCAATCGGTGTTTGAAATGCGATTTTTAGCTGTTTAGTCGATATATACGAAACGCGTTTCTGTTATTTCGTCGCTTACACGCGTTTGGACACCGTTTCAGTCGATAAAAAAATCTCATAGGACCATAGTCCCGTGCAAAATTATAGAGACGATTTGTTTTTACCGTGCTTTGTTCAACCATAATGACTGGAACAAATTCGAAAATGGATTTGAATAGCTGAAAGAGTTTGACGATAGAGGCGCGATGTGTATGCAAGTTTCATTACCAGTTGTTAATATGGAACAGAAAAACAACAAAACATGTCGTTGGGATCGTTCGTAAAAAGAATGTAGTTTAATATAAGAACGTGATGAAGAGCTCGGAGACGTCCCGTTTTGTCTAGAAAAGTTTGCTCTATTCGACTAAGTTGTGTGCAAAAAGTTTCCATTTGAAGCAAGAGACTTTTATTTCCTAGAGATCTCATATTAAGAACTATTAATGAAACTTGTATACACATCGCTCCTCTCTCCTTCCGGTACTTAAATTACTTTTCGAATTTGTTCTAGTCATCATGGTTGAGCAAAGAATGATAAAAACAAATCGTCTCTATAATTTTGTGCAGGATTGTATAAATCTAAATATATCATCGGATGAATGATACAACTCGATTGCAACTATTTTTTTGGTCAATTTCGCATCTTAACATGTTATAAAATCTTTTGTTTTAAAACTAAGTATAGCATCTTGAAAGTCATATTTACCAGTCCATCACTGAAATATCCTCTGACATATTCTTCATTTATTTGTACAAATACCCAAAATGCATCTTCAGCAGGTAAATGCATCAATAAAATACCAGCAATAGGTGCCTGAGCTTGACAATATCCGACAGCTGGATCATGAACAGCGTACGCTTTTAAAACATCATATAAACCTTTTTGACTAAATAGAAATAACAAGACTATTTAATGGACACAAATCTCACTTAACAAATCTTACCCAAATCCATCAGTACGAAACATTTCATGATCGGGAAATGATCGTGCCAAATCTTTTTCAATATCATTGAGAACATTAGCAGCTGGTTGTTTTGTTGAATAATACTCAAATACATTTTCTAAATTATATTCTTGTTCGGCACGTTTTCGACGAAATTCAGCTGATGATAAATAGAACCATGCTCGACCACGTAATGCTGGCGGAATGCCTTTACGACAACGTTGTTTTAATTTTTCAAATTTTTCTCCAATATAAACATCCCATGATGCAAACATCTCCAACCATTTTTGTTCACGACGACGAAGAACAATACGATCAATTGACTCTTCAGCACTAAAAATATATTAATTTATAATGAATTAAGTAGATATAAACATAATTTACGTTTTACTTTAATTCTTCTGGTGAAACAAAAAATCCATATCTATCAATAACTTCTTCTGATTTGTTTCTATAATCGTTGCCGTTTTCTTGTAAATACATTTGTTATAACAGTGGAATGTATTAATTTTAACAGAGATTAAAAATAATGGAATCATTTGCGGTTGCAAATAGATGATGATACATTCACACGAGAGTATAAGAATATTTTTAAAAAAAAACAAATTAGAAAAAACACTCACACAAATATCTAGAAAAGTAAATTAACATGATTTGAATAAAATAAAATAATTTTTGATATCTATGATTGTAGAGTAATAAAAATAATTAAGTATAGCATCGTTTATAGTTTTGAATATAAAAATTCTTTGGTATGATTCGTTTCATTTCAAAAGTAGATGTCAACTACTCAATGAGCAGATTGAAAAGTCGACTGAGTGAAACGTTTCTTAGAAACACTTTAGATACCGTTTGAATCTCTTACATACGATTAGAATACTGTAGTCCTCTAGTAGTTAACATTTTGATACATTCTATCCGTAGTAATATTTCAGACGATACAAAAGTATAGATTGATAAATAGCATATGATTACTTAATGAGTCATTTGTACACTATTCATACTAAAGTGGGCACGTGACAATTAATTATAACATAGGAAAAACGATAAAATTTCTTGAAAATATGATCAGATTTTATTTGTCCTAAATCTCTATAATTAGTAATAGCTGAGAACGAGTGACTGACTCTCGAGAAACAAAAGATTATGGAAAGAAGAAGAATTTTTTTTATGATGAAACAGAATAAATCTTCTCGAGTTTCACGCGGTCGGCTTAACGATGATTCATCATAATGAGTAAGTAGTAAATGACATTATCATACGAAGTGCAAAGAAAAATATATGTATGGAAAAACTGTTATCATTTGATAATGAAACGCTAATAATAGAGAGGAAATATTATTTTTAAATAATATGAAAGAAAAATATCATGTTTTTTTTTGTTATTGATATTAGCTATATGTACGAGTGTGTCTTTTTATATCTGTACCGGAACGACAACTAAAAACCCTATTCATACTCGTATCCTTATTCAAATATAATATAAGTGTCAAAAATACAAAACTTTTTATTACTTTAACGAAATGAAAAAAACAATAACATTTTAAATCAACAACAAATTACAGTTTCTTAAAAAAGAGGTAGCTATATACAGTTAAAGAGAATTTGATAATTAAATACATGAAGCCTCTTTTTCCAGAATAAAAAAGAAAAATTTGTGCCCATGCCCGTTCATGAATCGTACCCATAAATCTATGCACGCGTACTCAATCTTTCATTCAAATACAGTTTAGTTTGTATATCTCTAATTGATACAAAATCCTTTAACGACTCTATTAGCACTTCTGAAAGAAAAAAGATTTTCATTATAATGAGAAGAAGCAATTTTTTATAAAAAATAAATATCATTTTCATAATAAATCGTATATTTGACAAAGAACAAGGTTTTATCTTTATAATTGAACCGTTTTGTAAGTCTGAAATACATACGAGTGTAGAGATATCAATACCCTAAATGCAAAATGGTTCAATTATAAAGACAAAACCTTGTCCTTTGTCAAATGTATGAATTAAAAGTTTTTTATATTTCTATAGGAAATCTATTTCAATCAACAGATGAGATTCGTTACAGAACGAGCAGGAATAAAAATAAAATGCTAATTTTTTTTTTTATATAATTCTGGTGAAATTTTCGTCGCATTGCACGTGTTCAGAATTCTTAAACTTTTTGTACATTTTCTATGAAAAATTGCTTTTTCGCATTATAATAGAAAGTGGTGAAATGGACAATATAAAAATAAAAAAGATGAGCATTGAATAGTTCAGGTTGTGTTTTTGTGTTTTTTTCAGTTCATTTTGACAAACGATTTAAAGTGACAAAACGTAGACAATCGAGACAAACGATATGAATTAATCTTACAAATTTTAGCTAAATTACAATAAACGAACTACAACAGGTTTAAACATAGTTGAAATTGAAAATATTATTTATCTTTTTTAATTAATTAGGCAAACAATACAAAAATAGACACTATACAATACTATATAACAAATAATGAAGCAAGCAATATGGAGAAAAAAACCAGTAACAAAAACAACGATAAAAAAATGAGTATTTATTCAATCACTGTTAAAGTCGAGAAAATATATAACAAAAAAAATTAATGATGATTAGAACCATCTTGCAATGATAGTGCAATTAAAATATACGCTAAATCCCTACAACCATTACATCTCTGAGTATTTAAATTTAAACAGATTTTTAAATATATACAAATAACTGACTAATTTTATTTGAGATTTATACTCATATTATTTATTATTTGTGTACAGTCTATCAAGATCGAAATGAGCTAATAAATGATAATTTTTTTAATGGATATTTATGAATATCATCTTGTAGTAAAAATGGTTGACTTTCTTGTTTTTCTATTCCTTCTGTTCCAGATGCTTCACCCAAACTTATAATATCATTATCTTCAGTTGGACAATTTGAATCATCAGTGGGCAACGGAAAAAATTGTTGTTGATCATCGTTACTACTACCGATTGATGTTGTAGTTACTGTTTGTTCACTTATAGCTTTTCGTTCTTGTTCTTCTAGTTGTTTTGGTTGTGTATGATAATAAGAGTTCAATTCAAATTCAAGTTGTTGTTTTTCACCAGTTATATGGGGAACTAGTTTATCTAAGATAGCACGAAATGTTATACGATCATGAGTTTGAAAACACCAACAGTCATGCATTAACTGATGTCTAAAATATACAACGAGTGAGTTATATTCGATCTTAATTTATACAAGTAAATTATTTACAATATTTGTGGACAATGTTGTGGTTTTTCTAATGTAATATTTCCATATCTTACATAATGAACAACTTCTTCATTTCCATAACCTTGATATGGTTGTTCAGCCAACGTAGCAATTTCCCAGAGTAGAACACCGTAAGACCTATAAATTCGGGTATATATCAAAATTGATAGAGAAAAATGAAAGATTTACTTACCACACGTCGGATACTGTATCGAATCTTCCATCTCTTAAACTTTCAGGTGCCATCCAACGTATGGGTAGAAAACTTCGACCACCACGACGATAATAATCAGTTTCATAAATATCACGTGCAAGACCAAAATCTAAACAATCATTTAATTACGTAAGAACAATGCTGACTATTCGTTTCAAAATAGAATGTCGATGAATGATTTTCGAATACCGTTTCATGGAGCTGTTCGGTTTTCACCATTAATAGTCAAGGGCGGAGAACGGGGTTTGTTGAAAAACAACCTTCAGTGTTCTCTTCAAAATAAGAACTAAGCGACTTCTTAACTTTTCGTGATTTAGGCTTTCCTGGGAGCTCCGATTGGTATTCTTTAGATGCGATAATCTCGGAGATGGATGGTAATATAGGATATCAAACTATGCTGAACCTTGTGACAATGTTTATTTTCTGATTTTTTGAAGGAAATTCAGAAACCTACTGAATACTATGCTACTCCAGAACATCGAGATAAACTTTATTTTATCTGTTCAATCTGATTCTGTATTAAATACTAGTAAAAATCATTTTCTCATTTAGGATGATTTCCAGAAACCTTTTCAAAATTTAAGTACTTTCCATTGATTTTAGAAAACTTTTGTTGCATTGCAATGTATTGCGCAGATAAAATAGAATTTATCTCGATGTTCTGAAGTAGCATGAATCGAAAACAGCACCTAATATAGATATTCAATAGGTTCTCAATTTGCTTCAGAAAATAAGCATTGTCATAAGGTTCAGTATAGTTGATAACCTATATTTTCATCCATGTCCGAGATTATTGCATCTAAAGGATACCAATTGGGGCTTCCAGGAAAGCCTAAATCACGAAAAGTTAAGAAGTCGCTTAGTTCCTATTTTGGAGAGAACACTTTGAAGATTGTTTTTCAACGAACCCCGTTCTCCGCTCTTGACTATTAATGGCGAAAACCAAACATCTTCATCAAACGGTATTCAAAAATCATTCATCGACATTCTATTTTGAAAGGAATAGTAGTAATATAATATGCATACCTCCCACTTTACATGTGCCATCGCCACTCACTAAGCAATTTCTTGCCGCCAAATCTCGATGAACAAATTTCAGATCGGATAAATAATACATTCCATCGGCAATATCAGCAGCCATTTGAATCATCGATTCAAATGATAATGAAGGCTCATTTGGCTAGAACAAAAGATGAAAGTAGTGTCAAGTCATAAAAGATCATTTCTCAATTTACGTGTAAGTCTGATTGTCTATGCTTGTAAAGAAATGATTTTAAATCACCATTCTCCATTAATTCCATAACAACATACGGTGGACGAATACGACTGCAGATACCGTACAATTGAATAACATGATGACATTGAAATTGTCTAAATCAAAACAAATCTTCGGTATTTATTAAGTGCTCTCGTCTTCAAGGATGGCAGTACTACTGTTACTCATGTATTACATTACCGAGGAAAGTAATACTGTAAGGTATTACTGTTGTTGGGAATAGGAATATTCATAAAATTAGTATTACTTTTCAGTAAAGTAATAAATACAAGAAAACTTTTTTTTTCAAAAGAATATTCAAAAGATTTTCTAACGTGTTCTTGGATGAATATTTCTATCAG